CTTGCAGGCAGCGAGTGGGTTATTATCTTAGATGGTCTGTGTTCACAAAGTCCCTTTTTATACCTTAAGTTTTAATTTTCTGGTTTGTACTTTGTGAGAGCAAGGTGACAATGCTGCTGATGTTCAGTCACGTTATACAGAGTCTTTGGAAAGTCGTGAGTATTTGAGAAGTTCAAAGTATTTCGGCTGCAAATCACCGCTCCTGAAATAATGGCTGTGACTTTAGTTTTCCTTCCCAAACGTTGCTGAGTTCAGTTTCCTGTGGAACAGAGTAAGCTGGTTTTGCAGTGAGAGGGTGTCCTTAAAAAGCTGGATTTGTTACCTTGATTTTATTGTGTGCAATGGTACTACCAAAGGGTAACATTCAGGCACAGTTTTAATGGAAAGGCCCATGCCTGTACAAATCATTAATTTGGGATTATAGATCTGTAATGTGTGTATTCTGCAAAGAATAATGTAAACTTGAAATATCCAATATTGTTGTAGGAGTTACAGTATCTACACAGTGAATATTTTATTTCCTTCAGAAAACAAAATAATTAGGCTGCTCTAGGTAGTAACTAAGGCTTTTGTGCCAAGATTCAGTTCAGGGAATAATTTGTCTCAGTTTTATAGTACTAGTTGATATATAGTGAATACAACACATGTACAGCAGAAAAATAAACTTACTTTTCTGTAGCACAGTTGGAATAAAGCTTACATGGTATTTAAGGATCACTTGGCTCTCTGAGGATGAGACCAGTGCTTACACCGTGGCTCGTTCCTGTCAGACCCCTGAGCTCACGTGTAGCTCTAGAGCAGGTTGCAGTGACCAGACCAGCAGAGCAGCATCCGAGCAGCCCCCAGCCAGGAGGGAATGTGTGGGGTGGGTTTGGGGTGGGATGGAGCAGACAGGAGCTGCCTGGGTGCCGGCTCTGATCAGCACTCCTGCCACCCTTGCAGGACACAGCTCAGCTGTGCTCCCAGGCCCTGGCAGGCTTCTTGCTCCAGGGGGGAACAACTTCTCAAGCAATGGCTTCTGTGTGCTCACTGTATGTTTTTACTTGTCAGTTAATTTTTGCTCAGGGCAGTACTGGAGGTTTGGAGGAAACGGTGGTTCCCATGGGTAGATCACGTGGCAGATCCTGGAGACTTGTTTCCCTTCAGTAGTGCTGGGGAAGCCCTTACAGATAAAGACTGAAAATATTTATTTAAAATAGAGTAGCACTTCTCCTGATCAGGAAAGATTCTTCATTTGTGCTCTGCCTGGATTCGTTTCTGTCCCTGTTTTTGCAAGTTTCCACATTGTTGTTATTAACCTGAACCAACTGTTCAGGCTGACAGGTCACTTTTTTGTTTCTTTAAATCACTGGTAAGTGAATGCAACGTGGAGCCTTGATGAACTGAGCAAACATTGCACTGTGGGTACCTATGCGTGTTTGTCTTTGTTGATGCACTATTAGAACCGAGGGGCTGTACATAGAATTTTGCTTTGGAGCAATATTTGCAAAACTTGAAAACTTCTGTATCTTGGTGTTTGGAATAAATAAATAGGCTTTTGTTGGATAAGTCTTAGTAAAGTCTTTGTTTCAATTAATGATTGCTCAATAAAATAACTTTGGACTTCTTTGCTTGACATCACATTGAAATGCAGGTATCGTAGTTTGTCAGGTATATAGATCTTAACTGTTCCTGAAGTCTGGAAATTATTGTTTTCTGGACTTTTGTCATATAAATCTGGAAATAGGCAGACTGTTATGTATTGGGTTTTGTTCAGTATTGTTTAATGAGGAGCTTGTATATTTTATTCCCAAATCCTAATATATGTAATGGATTAGTACCCAATATGTGTGATCTGACCCTCGTCTTTGTTCCATTTGGATGAGCAGCCTGGTGGGGCAGAGGCAGCGCAGGACTAGGGATGGGCTGAAGGAAGGAGCTCCATGCATTTAAACAATCCATACAGAGAAAACACGTGGGCAGGGGAAGGGGAGGAAGCTGGTGAGTGCTGGAGGAGCAGCGTACCTGGCACAGGCTGCCTGGAGGCAGGGCAGGCATTGCTGTGCCTTCAGGTGCATTATTGGTTCTGTCTCTTCCCCTCTGTTTCCCAAGCAGGAGAGCAAGTGGATTCCCTGCTCCTAACAAACTTTCCTTTCTAATTTCTTTCTCAAAAAAAAGCCACTATTGTAATACTGGATTTTAAGGCTGGAGGGCACATGGTTGCTGGAGCCTGGTTTGTGAGCCACTGGTGGCAGATCCCGCTGTGTCTCATGGCTCGGGCAGGTCTTTGCTGATCACTTACATGTCAAAATTGGGGTTTGAAGTTGCGGTCTGAATTTGACATAATTCAATGGTACGTGTGCCATGGCTTGCTGTGTTTTGGGAAAAGTGTGCCCTGGGATTTATTTCCTTGCCTGATCTGAAGGCTCCTGCAGATGCAGACTCTGACAGCAGAGGCAGCTGCTCAGTCAGCTGTCAGCCTGCCTGTGGGCAGAGTCACCTTGAAGCTGCTCAGCCGAAGGGATCAGACACAGCCATGTTACTGTTCTCACTGTTAATTGCCCAGAACAGGATCTGTGATTGCAGGATCTGGTGTTGATGATGGTGCAGCCCATGGCTGGTGTTGGTGCTCGTTGTGCTGGCAGTGCAGCAGCCCCGCTGGCCCTGGTGCCGCATCTGGCTGCAGGAGCGCTCGTGCCCGGGGCTGCCTCTGCTTCCTCGGTGGAGTTCTTGAGCACTGCAGGCCCCTGCAGTGGTTCAGCAGTGTGTGCTTAATCCTTCAGGGTGCACAGCAGCTCTTGTGAAGTGAAGGAACTAGGTACAGCTCTTGTTCTGGGTAAAACCTGCTGCAGGTACCCAGAACAAGGTCCTGTTCAAACAGACACGGTAACAGTAAATACCACATTTTCTTTCCTGGTAGAACACGGATGCAGACAGAAAAACTGAGAGCAAACCAGGTAAAATGGGATTCATCCTGTCCTGCTGTGGCATGTTGCTGCTGGTGGTATTTGTGTGCTGTCAGGGTGTTTGGACAGGAGGGGCTGGATAGGGCCATGGATCCTTGGAATGCTCCACACTTGGGCCTGAGGCCGTGCATGGCCCCGTTTCCCAGGGGGGGGGGGGGATGTGAGCTGCATTGGGCTCAGGAGTAGGAGCTGTGTGTACCTCCTGCGCTTTCAGACTGGTGGCTTTAAGTCCTAGAGCTTGAGTATGGACATGGCAAAGGACACTAGGGAGGGACCTGCTCCTAAAGGGGTGGTTTCTGTGCCCTCTTGAGTCTATTGGGGTGAGGGTTGGCTGGATGCTGCCCTGAGCCTGGGCTCCAGGCACAGCTGTGTCCTTTGCACAGAGGCTCAGAGCTGATGGAGACACTGCCTGCTTTGCAGCTCCTCTTAATCCCTTCAGAAGTCTTTTTGATCCCAGCAAATGCTGGGCAGGTGCTCCAGGGAAAGATGCTCAGTTTGGTTTGAGGGGGATGAGGGGCAGTGCATAGTCTTGTCTGGCTGGGTCGCACATCTGGGTGTCAGTAGGTACTTGTCACTTCAGAGGGAGCTGGTGACAGGGCTCTGGGCCAAAGTGGCCACAGCTCACAATCCCCTCAGGAGAGAAGCTGGGGAAGAAGCTGGGAATCCCCTGGGGAGAAGCTGGGAAGCTCCTCTCCCTGTGAGGGTCCTGGGCACTCAGAACACCGCCAGGGAGGACCTGCTGGCTCTCCAGGGCTCCTGCCCTGGGGCTGTGGAGGCAGCTGTGGCTCCTCCCCTGCCCTGGCACTGGTGGGTCTTGTCAGGGCTTGTTGAGTCCCTTCAGAGCCCTCGGTGTCCCTGTCCTGCACTGCCCGGGATGGGAGCCCTGTAGCCCCCCCTCCTGCTCTGCCCTCCCTGGCTGGGTGAGCGCTGCTGCTCCTGGGAGCTGTTGGACCCACTCTGTGCTTCTGTCACCTGCTGAAACCTGCCTTGTACCCACGGGGTTCAAAGGCTGCGGCGTTCAGCCCTGGGAGGCAGGAATGGGGCTGGGGCATTTCCCAGCAGGAGTGGCATGTGCCCAGAACAAGGAACTCTCAGGATGGGGAAGGTGGAGGTCTCAGAGGCTGCTGGTGATGGGACAGGATTTGAACAGCCTTTCCAACAACATCTGTCCCATATTACCTGGCTCCAGGTTAAAAATAACAGGAGCAGCAGCCTCTTGATTGTGGCAGTAGGACCACCCATGTGTGTAAATGCATCCAACAACCTGGTGCATGGTGGAGGAAGGAGACCAAGACCCTCCTCCCTTCACACAACGTGGGTCAATGGCAAAAGTAAAGGATGCAAAAACCCTCTGAGTTGCATCAGGGGCCCCAAGGGTGACAGCAGGAGCAAGGCCAAGGCTGAGGGGCAAACCCCAATTTCTGTCCTGTGCTGAAGCCACCTGGGCTGAAGGTTGGGGCTGAGCAGGTCTGTAAAGCTCTAGGCAGAGAAGGAAATGAGAAAGTGATGGTGGGTTGCAAGAGTGAGCTCATCAGACAGGAACAGGAGCAGGGGATTGGAGCATGTCCAAGCCTGGGAGGGGGGGTCCTGCTGCACTGGCCTTGGGGTGGAGAGGGGGAAGGAAGAGAGAGGGGGATGGTGCCGAGCAGTGAACCCTGTGGCTGCAGAGGAACTCCTGCTTTGCTGATAAGGGCCTGTTGAAAGTGGAGGCTCTGGAGTGTGGCTGCTCTGAGGTGTTTCTGCTGCTGCCCAGGCCCCTCAGCCCCATGGGGTAGCTGAGATCAGGGTTGTACATGAGGGTTGTTTGCATTCTGCTTTTCTGAATCTACTCCTGGCACAGACCTATTTCTTCCCCCATCATTCCTAGAACAGCAGTTGTGACATTAAATTACACTTTTAAACCTCTTAGGTTCATAAATTTGCCCGAAGAGAGGGCCAGCCCTGACCTGTGGCTGCTCACCCCAGCTGGGGGCAGGAGCAAAGCCCCCAGGCTGTGGTGGTGAAATGACCCCAGGGGCAGGTAACAAAGTGTTCACCAACTCTCAGCTGTGAAGGAGATGCCTTTTAATTGAGACACTACAGATGATTATTGCTGCATGTCCAGCAGGATCCTGTTTTATGGAACTTACAGTCCATCTGTTAAAAGGTTTAAAAATCAGCTGCTTTGAGCACAGTCAGAGTTTCCCCCCTGGCTTCTGGTCCCAGCAAGCAGATCAGTGAGTTGGGGGGGGTGAGACTATGAGGGTCTGTGGCTGCTGCTCACAGGCCCTTCCTGCACAGGCACCTACACCCAAAAATGTTTGAGCATGAACTTGGGGGGGTCTGAGGGGGTTGGGCTGTTTTTCCACCTGGGCCAGGATTTAGCCTGTTGGGCATTTACATCCTCTCTCTGTTGCCGTGGCAGCACAGATCCCAGGAGCATCCTGTGGGGTGCAGGCAGGGCTCCTTCTCTCTGCAGCCTCTGCTGCCTCCTCCTCCTCCCAGGGGCTCTGGGTGCTCAAACATCCCATCCCAAAGTGCCCAGCTGGGGGAGGATGGGCCTCGGGCACCCCCTTCCTCCGGCACTGGTGCCTGGCCCCACCTTGGCGTGGGCTGTCGCGGGCCCCCAGCTTCCCCAGCACCGAGGAGCTGGGGATTGTGGCTGAAAGCAGGTGAAGGCTGAGCTGGGGATGGGTGTCCAGCACAGGCTGTGGCCAGCCGGGGCCTGTCCTCAGCTGTTCTTTGCCTCTTTCCCTGCGGGGTCTGGCTCAGGGTTGTCGGTCTCTGAGAGGAGCAGGTAGGAGCTGATGGCTTCCCGCAGGCCCAGGCTGAAGGGAGAGTCCTCCGGGGGGGCTGCGTTCTCCGAGAGCAGGAGGGAGCTGCTCGGGGCAGAGGGGGCAGTCAGCAGGCAGCCCCAGAGCCCGCGGGTCTGGCAGGGCTGTGGGAGCCCCAGCTCCTGCCCTGGATGTCCCCTCACCTGTCGATCTTGTCCCAGTGCAGCGACGGTTTCTTGACGACGGGCGGTGTTGGAGCCCTCATGCCGTCTGTGGAGCAGGGCTGTCTGAGGGGGCAGCACAGCCCCGAGCTCAACTCTGGGCACGGAGCCAACAGCATCAGCAGCGGCAGCCCCCCAACCCCGGGGCACCTGGGCAGGTGGGGCGGGCACCTTCTCCCCCTCCCTCCCTCCGGGGCACAGGGCATCTCCCCACACACACGGCTCGGGGTGCAGGGGCTGATGGGGCATTACCAGAGTAGTGGTCCACGAGGCTGTGCAGGCTGGGGAAGGTGAGCCCGGGGGAGATGTAGATCCAGCCGTTCTCCAGCCGGTGGATGCGGTAGTGAGTCACCGAGGCCCAGGCAGCGCGTTCCCCGCGGCGCAGCGACAGTGAGTAGCAGCCTGGAGGGCGCGGGGCCGAGGGCTCGTGGCTGGGCTGCCCTGGGCGCCCTCCCCATCCCACCGCCCTGTCTGGGCTCTCCTACCCCCTGCGGGGGCTCTGCCGTCACACTGCTGGTGTCACCCTTCTCATGGAGCTTTGCATCCCTGTGCCAGCCCCCTGCCATGAGGACCTCCAAACCAACCCGGAGGAGGGGGGAGGGCTGGGATATCAGATGTCCTTGGTGCCTCTTGCACCACAGCACCCGGCAGGGTCTCCTCACAGGGTCCCCTTGGTGTGGCGGGGCCCCGTTTCATTTTGTGGGCTGATCTTTATCACTTCCCTCTGTAACCCAAAGCTGTAGGAAGCTGATGGTGGTTTGTTCTTTTGAGGCCCCGTGGCAGGGGCTCAGCACAAAGCGGGAGAGCAGCAACACCGAGGAGCAGCCCGTGGGGAGGGCAGGGCCATTGCCAGCGGGTGTGAGCGAGGGTTCCCTCCCCCTGCCCCTTGCCAACCCACGGGGGAGAACTGGGAGGGGAACAGGAGCAGGGCCCGAGGGCTCTCACCTCGCCTGGTCTGGCTCTCCCGTATCAGGAACGACCCGCTGTGGTTGCCTGGACGGAGCAGCAGCTCCTCCGCCTTCTGCCGACTGACGCCCTCGTACAGCCACCTGTGCGGGCAGGGACCCCAGGGCACAGCTCGGGGTGCAGCAGCACTTGTGCTGGGGACACTCCAGCAGGCCGGGCCACCTCCCCCAGACCCAGCACTGGGGTTTGGCCTTGGGGCTGCCCACGTTCTGCGGTGGGGCCCTGTCCCCGGGACCCTCCCTGGGGCAGACCTTTCCCAGCATTTACCCGTGCCTGATCTTGGCCACACAGCTGCTGGGGACGTGGCACTCCTTGCCAGACACCTCGGACACCACCAGCCACCACTCGCCGTCCCTGCGGGGAAGAGGGATGGCCTCTCCTGAGGGGCTGGGGCTGCAGGGTGTGGGAGGAGACCCGCAGGGTGGATGCCACCAGTGTGGCTCCACGGGCTGGACGCTGGTCAGCTCTCACTTGGTGCGGGGACTTACTCGGAGAGGATGCGGAGCTGCTCCCCCATCCTCAGCACAGCGGCCACCCCCGCGCCGGAGGGGAAGTCACAGAGGGCCAGGGCCTGGAAACCGCTGGGAGCTGCAGGGAAGGTGAGAGGGCTCAGAGTTTCCCCGGCAGCGCCAGCCCCGGCTGGGGCGGGAGGACCTGGCAGGAGGTGGGTGTTGGCCCAGCACTTACCTGCCTGGGCCGGCAGCGGGGGCTGCGTGGTGTCAGCAGGTGCTGATGGGACGCTGAGCGGCTTCTCCCGGCCAGGCAGATTCCCCATCCCTGGGGTTCAGCCCCTGGGCTGCTCTGTCTGGGAGGGATGGAGGGCCTCAGGCTCATGGGTCACATCCCCCGCCCTGTGTCCTGGGCAGGGCATTTCCTTTGGGATGATGCCAACACGGTCCAGGGCAGGGCTTTGGGCTGGGGCTGAGCCTGGCCGGCAGCTCCCAAGGGAGCCCTTCGAGGAAACCACCATCCCACCACCACCACAGAGGATGGGATGTCTGGGGACTGCCCAGGATGGGACATCTGCAGCCTCATGGGGGACAGCCCCTGGCCAGGCTCACTCTCTGCATGCTGCCATCCCACCCCAGCCCCCTGTCCCCCAGGGGCTGGGGCACCTCTCCCAATGCCCCAAGCTGCTGGTCCCCATGGGGATTCAGGGGCTGTGGAAAACACCTGTTCCAGTTCCTTGACCATGGAGAGGTGCAGTTGGAGCTGTGTGTGACCCAGACCCATCCCAGGCTGAGCTCCCCTCCTTCCCTGCCCTGGCTGTTCCTGCCCTAGCAAGAGGTGAACTGCACTTACCTGCCTTCCGCTGCTGTTACCATCATTTGGGTGCTGTCAGGCCCGAGCAGCCATGGGCCAGCTCAGCTCTCCCTCCATGGTGAAGCCTCAGGACACCAGGGTGCACGGGGACCCTCTGGCACAGTGGGTGGCAATCGCTGCCCTTGCCAGACCCCTTGGTCCACCCTCACCCGCTCCAGGGCTGTCGGGTCCCAGTGCTGGGGCTGCTCCCGGCGGTGCTGCCGTGAGGGCTCTGAGGTGCTGCGGCTGCGGTTGCTGCTTCCTGTGACGTGCACACACCAGACCGGGTTTCTCCTTTTCACTCAGTCCCAGGTCGCTCAGCTGAGCTCCCTTGGGCCCTTGGTGTGGGCACCAGACCCAGGAAAATCCCTGTGGGCACTCGAGGCACTGGGCATTGCATGGGATTTGTGGGTGGGCAAGTGGGAGGGATGGGCAGCACATGAGAGCAGAAGCAGAGCTGACACCAGGAATCGTAGGCTAAGCTGGACATGCACCATCCCCAGGGTGGGCTTAGTGAAGGGGGGGATGTCCCAGGGTGTCTCCTCACCTGCAGCAGCACCAGGGCCAGGTGCTGCCCTCAGTGGGTGAGTGGTGCTGGATGTGCTGGGCCGGGGGTGGTGGGGATGCTCCTGGGCACGCACAGGTACCTTGCCAGACAGCACTGCCCCAGAGCCAGCACTGCCCTACAACCAGCACTGCCCACTGTGCCCACCCCAGGCTGGGTTACGGGTGGGAGCAGCCTCAGCTCTGTCCCATCCCCACCCTCAGCCCATCCAGGCCCAGCAGCTGCTGCTGGTGTGGGACCATTCATTGCCCAGACTGTGTGTGTGGACCATCCACCTTCCAAAGCACACACTGCTTGGCTCAGCCAGCACCACCTCTGCTGCCCCCACGCCCCCCACCTGTTCCCCTCCTGCCCCCCCCCCCCGAGGTCAGGACTCTCTGATGCACACAAACATCCACCCCCCAGTCCTGCCCTGAGGAAGGTCCTTGGGATTTGCTCTCAGCAGCTCCTGAGCTCATGGCCCAGCTCTGCACTGAGGACTGTGTGTCCCCCCAGCCATTTCCTGCCGTGTCCCCGCTGTGGGAACAGACACTCGGCAGCCTCCTGCCACAGCTGCACGTCCTGCTACTGTTTGTGCTGAAACTTGAAAGTTTCTGGTCAGCTGTAACTGCCTTGACAGTGTGAAATGCACTCGGGTTCAACAGGGCTCCTGGGCCTTGTGCCGCTCTTGGGGCTCAGGACCCTCCCCCAATTCTGCCCTGAGCTCAGGCAGTGCTGTTTTGCAAGAGATTGATTATGTTTGGGAGGAGATTCAATTGCTCTTGGAACTGGTGGTGCAGCACCACTTGGCTTCTTTTGGATGTGAGGGACAACCCTTGGTGTGCCATGACCTGCCCTCCCCGACTCCAAGCCCTGCTCTGGGCTCAGGGCTGGAAAATAAAATAGAGCCCCAAGTTCCCCTCCCCAGCCTGAAGTGGGTAAAGTGGCTTTCTGGCAGCACGTGGATTTCTGGGTCAGCACAGCCTCCCCAGCAGCTGAGGCCCTGCAGCCCCCACGCAGAAACCTCAACCCATGGCTGCAAGTCACACTTTTCCATCAGTGACCCAGAGCTCTGCTCAGCCAGACTCACCCTGTGCTGCCGAAGGAGACACTTAACAGCACAGAAATTTGGCATCTTGGGCTGGACACGCCACTGAATGAACTTGCCCCAAGGTTTTAAGCAATTGGGAATTCAGTGCTAAGGGAATGGGAGCATGGCGAAGTGCTGGATCCCTCTGCCTGTCCTTCCCTGGCTGAGCCCCCTCCACTGGGCATCCCAGCTCCCAACAGCAGAAAGAGATCAGGGAAGCACTCCACCATTTTATAGGGACTTACTCCAACCTCCCTGCTGCCCCTCGAGGGGTGGGAATGCCCATCCGTGCCCTGCATCCAGCGGCATCCAGCTCACACCCCAGCAGCCAGGTGGGTTCAGGACCCCAGCCCAGGAGAGGCCGTCTTGAGCTTAAGCTCTTTGCCTGGATTTAGTTGGTGTTGTTCATGCTGCCCAAAGAAACACTATCCTTTACTAAACTAATTTCTCACCTTGTATTTTGCTTTGATTTTTTTTGTCTTTTTAACAGGAAAAGCACTTGCTTATATAAAACCAAGTTTACTTTTTCCTAGTTATTCTTGGGTAATAAAATCTATGGCAACCATCCCTACAGATCTTGCCTTGCTTCTGCCCGTGAGCCACCATGGCAACAGCACTCCCTGCTAAATCACTCCTCTTCCAAACTGCTAAAATCTCATCTCTGTATTAAGCCGGGCTCCTAGTCCAGGAGCAGCCTGGAGCTTGGTGCTCTCCTGCTCCACATCATCAGGAACAGCACTCACCAAGCTTGCACCTGCCCCTGCTGCAGGATCATTTCCTCTGACTCATTTCCCTGTCATTTAAATATTGTGTTTCCTTTTTTTTGGGCTGTATTTCCATACAGGAACTGGAGACAGGACAGTTCCTGGGTGCAGCCCACTGGCATTAGATCCTGGTGCTGCACCTACACTGGCTCCTCTCCCGGTGCTTTGCATCCAGCACCTGCATCCAGAGGTGCTGAACTTCCCGCTGTGCCTGGGGCCAGGTCTCCTCCATGGTCTCCTGTCTCCTGTAGATTCAAATGCCTGTTTGTGCTCATCCCTTTGTACTGCCACTACTCATTCACTGACACAACTGGCCAGGGTTTCCCATTTCTCAGCTGTCATTCAGTGAGCACTTCAGAAGAACACTTTGCCTCACTCCTGCAATGACCTCCCCCAAAGGTCTCACAGACAGTCCAGGCAGGATCCCACCTCACAGCACGACAGTGAGACTGGGACTAACTCGTGCCCAGCACTGTAACCCTGCTCCAGCCCCAGTGGGCTCTCCATGGATTATGGTGACACCCGACAGCAGGGCAGATGTGCCAACAGACACCCTGCTGCCACCCAAACTGCCCTCTGCCCTCTCGTGTCACGGCAGTGGCCTTGTCACAGGTTTGCAGGTTAACTCTGCTCCAGGGAGGGCAGGGGGCTCTGGGCACTGCCTGTCGGGAGGTGGTTCTTGCCTGTGTTGCAGCAAACCTGTTGTTTTGTCTCCATTCTGGATGTTTCTAGTCGCATTTTGGTAGAGGCCAGCTCTCTCCAGCGCCCTTGGACAGCCTCTGCCAGGGGCCACTGAGCCACCAAACACATTGTCCCAGTGCAGAGGTGCCCAGTCCTCTCCCTGCCATGAGGAAGAGTTTGCCTCTTGCTGCAGGAGACACCCAGACTGGCAAACCCAGAGGGGTGCAGGTTGCCAAGAGAAACACCAGGAGCACACAGGGTAACAATGAAACTCAGTTAGTTATAGCTTTATTCAATAACTGGTACAAAGTTCCCCTCAGGCAGAGCCTCCCGGTCCCATTCCCTACCTGAAATGGAGCAGAATGTGAGCGTGACCCTGGGAGGAGCTGGCTCCCAGAGGGTCAGGGCTGCTTAGCAGTGAGGAAAGGATGTTTTGCTCATCCATCAAGACCTGCAGCAGCCTGACCACTCGTCCCTTTTCTCCCATTAACACCAGACCCTGGCATGCAGCAGGTATCTGCTGTCCACCCTTGGTGACCCGGCCAGGTGTAAAAAGGCAGCAAAATTGTGAATCTCACAAAGACAGTAACTGGTACCTGCATAGAGTGTTCACTGCTCACCCTTCTGACCTGACTCACAGGAATGTGTCATTGCTGGCTGTCACTTACATTCCTGCCCTCAGGTAACTGCACCCTGTGCAGACCCTGCCTGGGCAGCAGCAGTGGGAGGCAGAGCTGGCAGTGCAGGAGATTTTGGGATCTTCACCTGGCAAGGGGCACTGCTTCCCATTTCACAACCTGCTCAAGGTTAAAGATTCACCTGGGCCAGGGTAGAACAGTGATGACATGTCACTGCATCCTGCCCTTCTGCCGGGTCAGAGAGGGTTGTGGAGGTGGTCTGGGAGCCAGGGCTGCTGGAGTTTAATCCCTTGTACTTGGTTAATAGTGCACCTTGTTAGTGGAAGTTTACTGGTAAATTATTTGCTCTTTCAGGAGGCTCAGGTAAGAAATCACTCTGCTCCTTCTTAACACACACACAGATGAGATCAAGACAGCATTCCTGACCATTTGTTTTTCTCATGGCTGCCTGGCATGTGGGAACACACAGACCTTCCAGTGGGCTCTGTGCCCCAGGCACAGCTCCATACAGAGCACTGCCTGCTCCAACACCTGGAGTGCCACATCCTCGTGGTCTTGCTTTCCCACGTCCCACCGATGCCGTACCAACTGCACCACAAGGGTCCTTTAGCAGAAGCACAACTAGAAAGCAATTCTAAACCTCACAAAGCCACAGAAATTATATTTAAATGAAGAGGGGAGACAACGGCTGTCATCTGGATTGATACACAGCACAGACAGGAGGTGGCATCAGCATGTACAGTAACAGGACTTACTAAGACCGCGGAATGTCGACGAGTTTTAAAGAGGCTCTGATGCCAGGGGAATACAGAAAGGATCAAAGTAATGCCAAGTACAGACTACCAAGGAGGTGGCTGCTCGGATGGGCATGCACAGGTTAGAGAGAACAGTTAATGCCATGTTGGACAAAATGCTAGATTCTGAGTGGGTTCAGTGGGGCAAGTGGAGCTGTCTAAATCCAGAAGAGGGGCTCCTGCCTAACAGGATACTTCCATGGTTTGAGGTGCAACCTGGAGGTCAATTCCTTCTGGGGTTCCAACACTTCCTTCCCCGTGGGTGCTGGCGTGGGAGCGGCTGCGGCTGCTCTCTCCGGAGCCCACGCTGGACGAGGAGTGGCTGCGGGAGCGCATCAGCCGGGTCATGCTGGCGGCCGGCACTGCAAGAGAGAGCACGGGCACTCAGACCAGGAGCAGCTCCTGGAGCCAGACCACAGTCACTGGGGCGTGTCACTGGGTAAGCACAGAAAGAGCTGTACCCTTCGTGAGGAAGAAAACTCACTCTTCACCGCCAAAATTAAGTCTTTGCACGTCTAAAGCAAGATGTTTAAGGCCCAATTTCAAAAGGTCCAAGGTGAGCCAATGCCAGCAGTGTAACTGATCATTTGCAAGTGCAGTCACGGCCAGTGTCTGTGCAAACCAAGGCAGCTGTGGCACGGGTGACCTTTTGAAAGTCAGTCTCGTCACTCCAGAAAACCACGGGGCTGAAGTCATGCAACAATCAACAAAATACAAATGAAAGGTGGAAACCCATGGCACACACACGGTACAACGACCAGCCCACCCACAGCAGGACATGCTGAGACAGAGCAAAGCACCCGGAGAACAGTTCCACCCAGCACACAGAGCGGGGCCGAGGCGGACGCACGGTTGGAGGTACCTGACTCAGTGCTTAGGTGGCTGAGCTGCACATAAGGGACTGGAAACAACATGAGACAAGGAGAGGGATGAATACAGGAAAGAGCCAATTAGTTGAGGCGTGTGAGTAGTGGCTGCACTGCTCCTGGGACCCCCAGACACCTTTCCTTCCGCTCCCCACTCACACGCTGTGCTGAAAGCTCCCAGGATTTGTGAGAACAGCTGCCAATGACCCCCTCAGGGAGACACCAAGCTCACCCAAAAACCCATCAGGGCAGATGTCTGCAAAGCCTTTAGCTGAAAATCACAATGCACCTGATGACATTAACTCCCCACTGCACAATGCACACCCCACACCTGCTCAACAGAGATGTTGTTTCCCTGTGTAACTCCAGATACGGGACAGATACCTGTGTCTTTGGGATGACAGAATCACATTCCTGCTAAAAAGCCTCCTGCAGGGCGTTACCTTCCACCTGCAGTGTCAGCACAGGAAGGTCCAGCTGCTTCAGCCAACGTAGAGCAGGCACAGCTGTTGGAGAACTGGCTTCTGCATTTTGAGCAGTGCCCAGCTGTGATTTGCTTCTCCCTTGTTCTCCCCAAGAGAGCCGGCCTTGCTGACCATGCTCTCCAGTTGGGAAAACTATTCTGGGATGAGCCACTACTTCTGGAAGAAGGAAATTGCCCCCGTCCTTCCTCATAGCTGCACATCCTCTTGACAAGAGAGCTGACCCCCAAAGTGATGCTGAAGTCCTTCTGATGACAGCACTTGAGACTTTGCTAACACCAGGAACACAAGAGACATGAATGTTGAAACGCTCTCAGGTTGTGAGGCTGAGGGATCCTTCTCACACAGCATTTTGCTCTGCAGGATCAGGTGCCTCTGGCCAGCCTTGGAGAACATCCCTGTCCTACACTGTTCCTAACTCTGAGGAAAAGCACAGAACCTTCTGCTGAGCCCTGACCATGATGTGGCAAAGAACTGCTGGCTGTGTGGAGACCATTGTGGGTGGCACAGCTGCCACGGTGGCCATGCTGAGCAGTCAGCCAGTCACACAAACCAGCTCCTTCCTTAACTCCAGCTTTTGAAGCTTCATCATCCACAGAAGGGAGCTCCTGGCCCCAGCAGGTGAGATAGGGCTGCTGCAGTGCACGGAGAAGCCCTTCTCCTGACATCCCCCAGTGGCAAAGCCCTTCTCAGAGGTAAAGAAGCCCTTCTCCTCCAGTCTCCCAGGAGCACCAAGGGAGAGAGCTGAGCAGCTGTTAGCCTGACACACTCAGGTGACAGTGACTTCTGCCCCCAAGCACAGGGAGGAAGCCAGAGGGCAGGGCATGCACTGGCTCAAAGCACAGCTCTCTCTGGGCTCCCTGGGTGTCTCAGAAGTCACCCAGCTCCCTGTTCAGCCATTAGAGGATTCGTTCCGGGGTATTGCTTATCCCTGGTGAGAGTCTGAGAGAAACAGGAACATTTGAGGAGAAAGGGAAGAGCCCTCATGTCCCTGTCCCAGCTGTGGGGCTGCACCCTCCTTCCCCCTAGAGAAGGTTTGCAGAGAAGAGTTGCTGTTCTTGGGAACACACTTTTCTGGACTGGCACAAAGACAGACTTACAAGGTTTTACCAACACCAGCAACCAAAAAGGAGTCACCAACACATGTCAGGGAACAACACTGGTTTGCTAAGGCTTGTCAGCACACTAGTTGATTTTCCAGCATGGATGAATCTCCTGGCAACCACACTAGATCAGGGGTAGGGACACAGATGCCAGTGGCCTTGGATGGACCAGAAAGGCTGAGTTCCCTTCATGACAACCCTGCTCCAAACCACAAAACTATGTTTGCCACTTACTGTAGCCCATTCCCTGCACAAAGTACTTGAAGGCTTCAGTCAGCTTGCCGGGCTGTGGAAACAGAGAGGGCAGCTTTAGTGCAAGCAGAACAAAGGGCTCTGTTCCACCCAAGTGCCCTGGGAGAGCCGTGGTGTGTCTCACCTGAACCACCTGGGGCAAACCCCCGCAGTCAGCCATCTGCAAGAGGAAACAAAAGGCAGGTTGAGCTCTCCTTCCCACCCCAGGAGGACAACCCCACACCAGCCCTGCCCACCCGCCAGGGCTGAGAGCACCAGCCTGGTGCTTCTGTCACCTCACCTCTACTGTGGCTTCTGTCACCTCACCTCTACAGCTGGAGCAAGGCTGGGTGACACACCTTTTGGGACCTGCTGCTGAGGGAACCCTACACCTTGGAGGCCGTGCTACCAAGCGATCTCAGGCCACTCTGTAGAAGGCCAGCAGTGACCCTCCACCGCTACTGCTCCCCCGGCCACTCTGCCCAAACCTGCCACTTTGCACTGCCATGCAGCATCTCTGCACACTGCGGGGCCACGGGGGAGGGGGGAAGGACTGGAAAAGGGAATTTGTTGCTGCAGAGCACAGGGTGGAGGCAGGGCACCTCTGCCAACTCTCAGCAGGTCTCCCCTGCAGGTTAAGCTGGCTGTAAAGCAGGGATTCGGGAACCCCCTGACAAACTCTTCCCTCCCAGCTCTGGCTCCACAGAGGAGAGAACACACTCTAAATGACTGTCTACAAACTTCTTAAAGCCAAATGCATGGAAGGCAAAAACCTAAGTGGAGCTGGGCTCGGCACAACCAGTGTCTTTGTGCAGGCCAGAATAATTCTGGAGTGGCACTCGCCTTCAGAAGGGTTGTTTTGGTTGGATCAAGACGTGAATTGCATTCCACCTAGAATAAAAGGAGAGAGGGACATGGTATCACACAGAAACCTTGAAGAGTCAGATGTAAAATGCAGGGCAGCTGCACCAGAGGCAGTGGCTGTCTTCAGCAATGGGAGTTTCTGTGAGCAAGAAAGCAGAGATCCTGTAGGAAGAGAACAATTAATAAAAGATCCAGGGAGGAATGCCAGGTATTCCATCCAAGGGATCTTGTGATGACAGATGTGACTTCAAGTGAAATCACCCCCTGCTTTTGCAATGCACCATGAAACCCTGGAGCACCTTCTGGGCTCTGACAGCAAGGGAGGGAAGGAGACTTCTGTGCAGTGCAGCATAAGGGATATCACTCAGTCCCCTGGCCAGAGAAGGAGGCCATGGCCTCTGTAAGGCTGTTGCAAAGAGGGAATAGGTGGGGGGCCTATAGGGAAAGCAACCTCAGCAGGGGAGGTTATTGTGGGCCGGGGACCTGGGCAGCCAGACAGTCATGCCAAGATGCAGAAGACCTTACCCTGTACCCATGCTGTGGCCAGGAAGCAATGGGAATCCTCAGGAATAGTATCCTAGCAAAGTCAAAACTTGCAGACTTTGTTTCAGACTTCCAGATCAAACAGAGTGATGAAAAGGCAATAGGCCATAGCCAGAAAATGCCCTCCCTGCACGTCTCCTAGGTCCAAGCTACTGCTTTAATAGAGTTCTACACTCTTCCATGGTTTTAGACAACTGCTTTTGTGCACAACCCCCTGGTCTCCCCACGATCACCGGCTGCCAGGGAGGAGCAATGTCCACCACAACCCCACTGCACTGTGCCATGCCCCATTTACAGCTGTGCTGGGAGGGCAGCGGGTTATGGGTGTCTGTAGAGGACAACAGGAAGGAGATGCTCCTAAGTGCTGCCTTCCCGATGAGGCAGTGCTTTAACAGAGCTCTGTGGGACTCCACACCACAGGAATTGGAGTCACACTGGATATTTTTAATCCCCTGGTAGCCTCAGTGTAACAGCAAGAGAACAGCAATCCACGACTCAAACTGAACTGCAGGCAAAGGACACGTGGTCCAGAACAGGGTCCTTTGCATCACGTGTCGAGTACGGTGCTCATTCAGATCCTGCCATCCTCACCTCGGAGCTGCTCCCAGGGCCATTGAGTTTCCTGAGCCTCAGCTCTCCCATGAGTAGCTGAGGGACTAGAAAAGAGCCTGGGACAAAGAGCCACTGTCTGTGACTGATTCTGGGCAAGGTGAAAGCACCACAGGGTTGCTCAGTGAGTTGTGGGTTAATGTCACGAGAGGAAAGCGTCCATGGGTACGTACCACTGCTTCCACGGCAGGAGAGTTGTCACCAACGACGAGCAAGGCAGGGCACCTGGTCAAAAACCAAAACAGATGTGTTACAGTGCATCAAAGGGATTCCTGAGAAGGTTGAGTTCTGTGAACCAACAGACTCATGAAAAGTTAACAAAAAAAGGCTCCTCAGAACTCCTGCCTGCCAGCACATCTCGGCATTTTGTTGCACCAAAACATTCTCCAGGGCTTGCACACACATCCATACTGTCCCCTCTGCACACACCACCTGCCACTGCTGCTGCTCACATGTGCTCTGACCCTGCCTTCTGGAGAATCTCAGGGTGTTCTTAATGGGCACCTCTGTGCCCCACTGCAGATGACAGTCCTGCACCGCAGCCCAGGACTGTCCCAGACAGTCCAGTGCTTGGGCTTGGTGGGGTTCTTGCTGAGAAAGCAACAGCATCTTTTCTGCTGTCAGTAACTGAGACAGGCTGATCCAGAGCAACTTACTTGAGTGTTTTTGCAGTGGTTTCATTGACACCAACAACCGGTCTCTCAATTTCCAGGTCTTTACGACTGAAAGATAAAACATAACAGTTCTCCATCAAATCTGCAGAGGAAACTGGTTATCATGGGAGCACACAAAATCCAACCATGAGTGCAACAGGTTATCGCTCCCTGTGTCATGCCATGAGCAAGAGCCCCAGCAGTCATCCCCAGGAAATAGGATCCACACTCTCCTGGCATTGCTGTGTGCCCAGAGATGATCTACTGAGGTGTCACAGGGTCTTGTGGGCAGACACGAGGGCTGGGCTTGGCTCAGGATAACAGCTGAAGACTAGGCTTAGGACAAAGGTTCCCCTGACATAATATCCAGTAGGATAATACATATGGCAGCACATCTGCTGAGCAGGGAAGCTATGGGAGCAGTCTGTCAGGCAAAAAGGTATCCTGTACCTGTTGTATGAGGTGAGGAACAGCTGAAGGTTATCTTGGTTAATGTCCTGTGCGATATGAAGCCTGTATGTTTGGATCAAATCTAGATTTGCCTGCAGTTCCTCCTGTACAAAAAGCAGAAGAATTGAAAGACAGGAAAAAATATTTTTCAAAAGTAAAGAAACAATAGTCATAAAAATACTGAAGCATTAAAGTGCCTCATTGCCTGTGAGTAGTGAGACAGAGGGCAGCAACTCCAGAGTGCATCAGTACCCAGGAGACAGGAGGGGTATGTGACGTGCCTGGCACCTGCCATGCTTTGGTAATGTGACTACACTTTTACAACTGGCAGCACCCAACTGCTGCAAGAGTAGAGGTATCCTGAGATGGGGTAAGTTAACTCCCAAGCCTTGGTAATGTTTACACAGATGCAAATCACTCTGGGTTAGGAAGGTCTTCCGCTGATGCTTAATGTTAAAGAAGCAAAGCTTTATAAGCAGGCAACAAGACTGGGACCAAAGGAAAGTTCAATTCCAACACCCAGTTCTAAGAAGAAACTGCATTCCTAGAGAGACAGAGACAGAGAGCAGGGAATGCAAGGAATTCACATACAGTGAAGGGGCCCAACAGCAGGAAGAGAACAGCATGTGCCCTGAGCAGGAGGAAGGTGTGCCAGAGAAGGAAGCATTTCTTCCAGGGTTGATGTATTGCAGGAGGGCTCCAGATCAGGAACTGATTTGCTGTGTGTCATATACAGTGTGCACGAGGCACAGGCCCTGCCATTGCCCAGTGGGAGGGATACAGCTCATTGCTGTATCCAAAGTATTCAGGAGGGGCTGGTTTACCTCTCCTGAAGCTGAAGGGGAAGACGAAGAGCAGAATGCAGCAGGTCAACATCTGGACACATACAAGATACCACTGTCAGATCCAGCTGATCTGTGCTCTACTCAAAACTCCAAAGGCTTCCATGCTGGCTATAGAGAACTGGCTGCCACTTGTTTCTGCAGGCAGTGGCCAGGGTTCTGCCACTAGTTCTGCCACTAGTGTGTGGGACACTACTTCCTTAGCATGCCCAGAGACAGTCAGGGCAGGGGTGAGGATGTGTGTGCTCCCCGCAGCATGCAAACCCCAGTGGGAGCCTGACACACAGAGAAGATGGTACTACCTGTGGCAACCCTTAGCTGATGGACCAGAGCTATTTGGGAGCAGCTACATACAGAAGTTAGAGCTCCGTGTACAGTTGCATGGGCAACATTAACACCTGCTGGGTACTTACATGGCCAAAATGATGCGCCAAGACAATATCCACTATGTTGGTTGTCCAGCCTGAAAACTGAAGAGTGACTGTGAATGAGGAGGAGGGAGAGTAACTGGGATATACAGTTTCATTACACATTCCAAAGCAACTCCTCTGAGTAAAGAAAATAACAAAGAAACTATTCAAATGATAGAAGATACAAATGCCTGAAGTTTTGGATGGGCATGCAAAGCTTCAAAGAAACATGTGCACACACAACATAGCTCTCCAGAAACCTGGAACCTTAAATAACTGCAAGAGGCCAGAATAATTAAGAAATCCATTCAATCTCAGTCAAATGAATCCTGCAAGCAAGACTACTAAATCTGAGGAAAGCTGAGTGCTTTAGAGCCACTCACGTCCAAGCAGTTTATCTGCATCTCTCATTCACATATGATCACACCCACCCCTGCTCCTATGGCAGAGGCCACACTACACCCAGACTGAGAATGCAGCAGGGACAGAAACGAGATTTTACAGTTCTTGCCAGAAATGGACAAATTCCTATATTCTGTCCTTTTTTCTTACTCTACACACTGCTCATTAAGTGCTGCGGAGAGCAGATGTGTGGGGAAGCAGAATCTCACCTTGGATGCTGCCCAGTCAATCCATCCCTTTGCACATGGATCAACATTAATAAGAACGAGTCCCTCCACCAGGTCGGGGTGGCTGAGCTGTGGGGAGAGAGCACAGGCACACTCAGAAGGATTCAGCCCACATGGGGAAAAATGGCTGGTGCAGCAGCTGGAAAGCTTCTTGCAAAAGGTGTAGGACAGTGAAATGCAGACAAAGTGAGGAGCTCCTCTGGGCCGGGCAGCCATCGGCTCCCAGCCAGACTGGACTCGATTCGGCCATGGCACGGAGGGACCGAGTGCTCCACAGCCCTGCAGCCCCAGCAGGCCTTGGCAGTGCCTCCTGGGGACCCTGGGCAGCTGCAGGTCCTGCTGAGGCCCTGTGTGTCACAGGGCTGGGAGCAGTGACGCTCTCTGCTCCAATCCAGCACAACCGTGAAGAACCTGGACAAGCTCCTGTGCCCGGAGAGCAACTCCTTCCACTCCTCAGGAAAGAGGCAGTCCCCAGTGGAGATGGGGCAAATGGCAAAGAAGCTGGTGCTGAGGCTCCCAAGTCCCTGCAGCCTGGGCAGAGGCCTGGCAAGCATGAGCTGTTCCATAGACAGCACCCCTGCTGCCCCCAGCCTGCAAACACCCCTTCCCCTGCTCCATCCTGGCCCCCCAAAACCCTGCAGTGTAACTCAGGCTGTGTGTGGGGGAAACTTGGTACACAGCACTTATGACAACTGCTTGCAAACACAAATGCAGCAATCTAATGCAACCAGCCACCTCTGAGCTCTGGGCTCACTCCAAGGCTGAAATTCTATGGCAGCTCTCCTGCTCCATTGTACAGATTGGTGAAGCAGAAGGAAACACCTCTGTGCTCAGCAGGAAACTGCCTACAGCCCAGGAAGCATGGCAAGGGCTTTGTGGCACTTCACTGTGCTGAGCACAAAGGCTGATTTGCACGAGCTCCTCTTTTGCAGGGCTGAAAACTACACAAGATACAGAAAGCAAGGAACAGCCAAACACCAGTGCCTCACACTGCCCCAGGCTCAACCCTGACTGGAGGGAATGGGAAGCAGAGAACTTTGTGTAGGAGGGGCAGCTGCCCAGCACAGGGGCTTTAAGGAACAATAATGGCCTAAATAATTGACAAGTCTCTGCACTCAACAACCTAAAGCAAATTTTACTGAAAACGTCAGATTTCAGTAATGGGGTTTTTTTAACACTATCTCTGAAAGACTCAGGCAAATTCCTGGGCTGTTAAACGATGCCCACTGATTTCACATAAACACTGCACTAGAGAGAGATGTGTAAGCAGCTACTAAGATAAAGGCAGCACACTTTTATCTAAGGGTGGAGTACAAAATCTGCTTCCTTCCAGTGACAAAGCACATTCCTCATCAGCACTGGTTTGCAGCACATCACATCAATTCTTTGGTGTCACAAATGCTGGACACAACACACAGTAATGCAGCCAGTCTCTGTGAACACTCAAGGCTGGCTATTCCTAGCAGTCAGAATGGGCTCTGATGACTCAAAAGCATCACATTGCAGTCTTTCCACACCTGGCATAGTTTCAGAGTAACTTTGACTGCTCCAACATAACCATCTGGCCGGAGGTAGCTCTCCCAGGGCTCCCTGCAGCCCTGCTGTAATTACTAACTGCTACTTTGCCCGTGCCCCACACACTGCCTGTTTGATCAGTGAGGACCACAGCTCTCAGGAGTCACAAGCAATGAAGAGATACTTACTGCACACCTGCTGAGGACATAAGCACCAGCTCCCAGGCCAATCCCAATGAAGCTTTTCAGGCTGAAATACAGGTATTTCACAGTCAACAAGACTAACTTAGCTCAGCTGAAGCATCCCTAGTAGCAAAGCCTTTCCCCTCTCTGCATCCAGCTGTGCGCTTATGGCTGGTTTTCAAAACGACCCAGCAATGATGCAGCAGCCTTAAATTGCCTCAGGCAGCAGACAGTGTTCCCAGCACAGAACTAGACAGGGGCACACTGCTTGGGAGATGCTCAGGCCTCTTGGGACACCTCAGTGAGCACTTCAGACGTGGCAAGCAGAGGCACAGGTACGTGCTGGAATGGCTGTCTCCAGCTGGCTCACCCCTTTTCCCTTCAGAGACTTACTTCAGGTGCGTCAGAACAGCAGGTAACATTTCAGCCAGTTCATCCATACTGGGATACTGGTACCTGAAAACCAAGAGAGCATCTCCAAATACAGCTCGACAGAAATTACCTTCCAGTTCTACCAACTGTGTGGATCCCATCCCTCAGAACAAGACTAACAGAGCTGTGATCTTTTGGGCAGTCAGATTTCTGTGGCAGGATGGACAGATGAAATGCAGGCTCGACTGCAGTGTGCTGGGCTCATGCTCAAGTCAGACAGCTGGTACCAGACTCACCACTAGTGAGGGCTTTACCCATGTCTCAGTAATTAGAAAGTTTCCTGACTGCCCCTTGGGAAGCCTCCTCATCTTGCCATTTCCTCTGCTCCTGAGAGCTGCCCCCACTACACTCAGCCTGGCAGTCCCAGCTGGCACAAACAGGGTGCCACTTCAGTACAGACTGAACAGCACAGGTCTCTGCAGAGCTCTTACCCAGACGGGAACGGGGGGGCTCCTTCCTGCTGGCCTGGTGCATCCACGTGGCACACAGCAAAATGCTGGGTAATCTCTTGCATGTCTTCGAAGTTAAAGAATGCGTTAAAACAGGATTTGTCTGCAACAACAACAAAACAAAATGAGACATTTCCTGAAGTTCTATTGCAATCCACCCTCCAAACACACGGCACACACCTGCAGGAGCTCAAGCCCCCCCAGGCCCACGGGGCAGAGGGTGCTGGATGGTGTGTGCTGCTGTGCCTGAAAACTGCAACATAGCAGCAAACCCCAGCAAAGGAACTGCCACGACTGCAGGGCAGACAAACAGCCCAGCCTGTGTGCCCCAGAACCTTGTTCCTGGTACTCACAGTACCAGGAGGAGCACCCGTGTGAACATAACAGCACGTGCTGGGTGGGAAGACATGTCAAAAGAGAACTGAGCCTGCTAGAACATTACACTACTTCTGCAGCCTTGTAGAAGGGACTTGCTCACCTGCCCAGCACCCAGGGAAAGGAGGCCCTATCACACAGTGCAACAAGTCAGCCAGAGCATTATAGTGTGTTGGGTGGACCTATTTCCACCCTTCCACCTTGGCCCTACCTCTCAAGGGCTGTTGGAATGGACAGGGCATGCCACACGCTCTCTCTCCCTCTCTCTCCTGCAGACCTTTATCTTTTCACCCTGGAATGACCTCAGCTCCAGGTCAGGCCTGCTGCTCCCCACACTTAAAAGCAAATACCACAAACAATCACTTTTTCAGGGTCCTGGGAATGCAAGGGCTTACGGTTGAGGCCAATGTCATGGTATGTGAGGATGACAGGTCTGTTCCCCTTGGGTGTGCCCCGCATGGTGACATGAACCACTCCAAAAGCTGTCTCAATGTCATGTTCCTGCAGAGAGAGAAGAAGGAGCCTCAGTGTTATGTGTGCTGCCTGCACCACAGGGAAACCTAACTGAAGGCCAGCAGCAAGGGCCTCATCCCCACTTCAGCACTGCTCTCCTACCCACAGTACAGCTTTTGCAATCACAGAGCGGTTTGGGTTGGAAGGGACCTTAAACACCATCTCATTCCACCTCCTGGCCAAATGCAGGGACACCTTCCACTAAATCAGGCTGCTCCAAGACCTTTCCAACCTGGCCAATCCACAACCCTGCCAAATCTCTCTGTCCAATTCCTCTGTACAACCACTGCCCAAAGCAGGTTGCTTTTGCTGAGATGTGTGAAGGGTCCGGGCCTGCATCTTCCCATGACCAAGATCTCATTTCAGTGGCTTTCAGTGATGTTGCTGCACTGCAGCAGAAGCTGGGTGTCACATGTGCAGCTGTGTCTAGGGGCTCAGGGCATCACGAATGCAGCTCCACTTCCACAGCCAAGCCTTCGTTCCCCAGCTGGTGAACCTCTCTCCAACACGCCAGCTTACAAGTCTCTTGCCAGTGCACCCCCAACCCACCCCCTTGGCATCATCCTGTCCATGGGCAGGCTGATGGGAGGGGACATAGCAATGCCCAAGAGGCTGGCAGCCTCTGGGGACCATGTACCAGGGTGTTTGGGAAACAGCACAACACAGAGCAGGCAAATGGGACAGCAAAGGGACCCAGGCTCTGCAGATCCCATCACTGCCTGCCTGTGAGGTTGCTCCCATCCACATAGGAGTGAGTGGCAGCTTTTCCTTTCAACAGCAGTAAAAATGAAAGATCCAGACCCACACATATGTGTTCTCCCAGGCTGCCTGTCTACTGCAGCCCCACGTTGGCCATTTGGCCAAGACCCCTCAGCTCTTGCCCATGCTGCTGCATTAGTGTCTGCTGACCTGTACCCCAGGGAAGGCTGAGAACTGTACCTCGGCCAAACGCTTTTTTCCATTATACCAGGTTTGGTAATGTGACACTGAATCACCTCCAGTGCCTCTGGCAGCTGGCACCAGTATGGAAGGTTATGCTGGTTTCCAGCTGGGTATCAGTGGAGCAGTTTCACAACCTGTTTCATGATTAATTGCCAGCCAAACCATGTGTCTTTTCCCAAATATCAAGAGCTTTTTGCACCGTGCCTTATGTCAGACAGCAAGAGGAGCACGAGGCCTCCTGGTACCTCTTCAGTTTCTTTCTGGTGCAGAAACAAGCCACAGCCTCATAATGACACACGCAGAAGTGCCCACAACATTGTCCAAGTTGAACTAAAATAGCTGCAAACACAGTGAGACAAACACTGATCTGGGATAACTATGGACTTTGGAAAAGCTGTGGAGATGGCAGGGAGGCTGGGTACAATAACAACATCATCTTTAGGTCCCTTCTCTCATCTACAGAAATCAAAGGAGAGACTTACAGACACTATAAAAAGCACCAATTACTTTCTTCATATTAAAACAGCATCTGCTTAGGAAAAAGCCTGAAGTAGGGACATTACACCTCAAAAACATGTTTTACTAGTTTACACAAAGTATGTGAAATATGGTTTTGAAACAGTAATTTCCAATACCCTGAAAGTCATTAAACCAAATACAGTACTGATGAGAGTACCTGGCTTGCAGCACACCAGAAATTCACTTCACCTCCCTTTTCTGGACACTCTGAAGGCTAGTTGTGGGCCAGACTGATTTAGTTCTTGCAGTGGAAGACCTTCCTTCCCCCAGCTTGTGCTTCTTTTCAAGGGCTCCAAAGCCTATCCCCTTCCCCCAGAAGTGTGGCAACAGGAGGGAGCTGCCACAGTTAAATCACCTGAGGTAGTCTGAAGCTTTCTGGAGCTTGGCTTTGAAGGATTTGTGAAGACACCTCTGACTGGGGCTGGGGTTTACCTGCATGCAGCTGTTGCACTGTGCACATGCAGAAGCTGGAGTCCCTACTTACACAGCAGCAGAGACCTCTCTGCAGGCGAGGTTACCCAGCCTGATGCTCACATGGAGGGGGCAGGACAGGACTAGTCTGTGTGTGTAAAGTGAGCATGTGTCCATATGGCAGGAGTGCCCACCCTCATGGCAAGGCTGCACAAGGCAGCCCAGGGCACAGCCTCTGCTTCCTGAGCCTCCAGAAACCCCCCAGCTCTGGCCCTTGGCCGTGTCTTGGCTCTCGGGGCTGCTCTGCTGAGCTGGGCAAAGCCCCGTCCTGCACAGCCACAGCACTGGCCCCCAGTTTAGTGCTCTCCGAGCCTGCAGGTGTTAACAAGCCCTTTAACAATAAAGTGGCAACTTTTGGAGAAGGCCAGGAGTGGTGACTGGCAGTGATGGTGGTGGGAATGGTGAAACACAGGGAACTCATGGAAGAGCCCAGCGGGTGCCAAAGCAACTGGAGCTGGCAACCCCCGTCTGCACTTCCCTATGCCCCTGAGCTCACCAAGGCCTGGACTGCCATTAAAAGCAGGTCTGCCTGCCAGCTCTGGCACTTGCTGGGCTCTTCCATAAGCAGCTTTAACTCACTGAGCTGGCAGGGAACTATCCAGTTGCCCTTTTCTTTTCTTCTTTTTTTTTTTTTTTTAATCTTACTTTGTTAGACTTCTGCCAGGTCAGTGAGTTAAGAAGCTCACAGAGAGGTCTGGCAAATGCTGGTTGTGGCTCAGAGCCCAAGGGGAGTGCATGGGGTGGCAGAAGGAATAACCCTGCCCTGAGCATGAGGCCGGTTAAACTGACTCACGGCTCATAGGGGGGACTAGGGAGGGTCTAAGGCAGCAGCAAAAGGTCAACTATCAAACAGAAGCACAAAACCTAAACTGAGGCAACAGTGAGAAAAGCACAGAAAGCAACAAAAGAGCTGGTGACATTTAAAAAAGTCTGCACTACAGTCTTTTCTGGAATTACACTCAAACTCACTGCTCAGGTCACACCTGCCTTCACTAGGTGAGCTACAGGACAAGGGACTAGAAACAGAAACACCCACTTCCCTTCAGAGCCCCCGTCACACTGCAGCACCCTGCACTTCTGTTTTCTGAAGCTGAGCTTGGGTCTCAGCTCTCTACTGGGAAAGGAGAAGAGTTTCCTTGAGCTAATAATCCTTGCTCTCCTGCTTACTTTGACATTGCTAACTGTGTAAACTGTGATTTGGGGAAATGAGACAGTTTGTTGAGAAGAGGTTTTTCATGTCCCCACTAGGCACCAGCCCAATCTGAAGGGGACTTCCCTGGCTACTCCTTCAGTCACATTAGTGATTCCAATACAGGGAATGTCCACCGAAGATGGAAGCAACATGAGAAATCCCATCTTTGAGAAATCCCAGCAAGCAGAACTTTAAAAAGTTTAAGATGCTAAATCTGCAAACTTCTTACTCTGCCCTATACAGTGACAATGCCTAAGACTGGGAGTGCTTAAGAATATTTCTTATTTCTCTTGCTAGTTTCCAGGCAGGGTGGAAATCCTCCTCCTGGGAAGCAGCTTCCCTCCTCTGGTTAAAGCATTTTACTTATTGAAGGCTTTTTCCAAGCTCCACAAAGGAAGCAGCAGCCACTGAAATTGAGATAAAGGTTTCTACCTTCACTTTTTTAGCTAGAAATCAGCTATCACGCTGATATCTTTTTCAAGATTATCTGGAGAGACAAGACTGAGTTTCACCCCCAACTTCCCTACGGGTAATCAGTAGGAAATGTCAGTTTTTCCAGTGAACTCCATTTTCTGTGAAACTTTGCCCTTTTGTCTCAACCTCTGATTGCAAAGGACAAAATCGTTTTCAGATGTCACACAATTAGAGCCCACATGACTCCCCTGTCACTGCTTGTCTCCACAGCAGCTCTGCCACGTATCAAAGCCACAGGACAGCACGAGACAGGCTTTAAAAAGAGCCTAGGTATCACACTTCGGATGACAACGAGGATCTTTCCACTTATAAGATACAACTGCTACCTTGAACTGCCCCAACAAAAGTTATTATTTTGTTACAATATTACTGGCTTACTACTCTCCCAAACACGGAGCAGAATAACCCAGTTACAGCAGGCACCAGGGCACTCAGTGAGAGAACAGCAGCTTGTCTGGCTGCACCTTTCCTTCACATCTTTCTTGTGGACACCCTTCCCAGCCCCCCAGCGAGGTGCCCTGCCTGTGTCACCCTGTGTCACTGCCTCCACAACCACTGCCCAATTCCAAACACCAACTCTGCATGTTTTCTCCTGGTATTTGCCCATTGCTCATGGAGAAATGTTGAGTTGGAAAGTATCAGCCGCCCAGACTCTGGCATGCTTGGTTTCTTTCTACCCTCTGCTCAGGGCAGCTTTGACACATTGCATCAGTGTAGCCTGAACAGAGACTCAAGGGTTGTTACCTTGCAGCTGTGTAACTCCAGCTACTGTCTGAACACTGATCCGGTCTAGTGCAAGGAAGCAGTGATAGGAGAAGGCAGGTGGAAAACATGGCCAGGAAACAGCCAAATTTTTACAAACCTGCAGTCTCCAAAATAAGGGAAATGAATGCGAGACAAGACCACGATCTGCCAGTTGTGTTTTGAAGAGCTTGATAAAGTTTAATTTTCACTTAGGGACTGGAAACTTTCAGAGGTTTTTCTGAAGAGATTTTATCTCCTGCCTTTATTTGTAGAGCAGGTAAAGAATAAGCAGCAGCTGCAGCCACCCTGCTGCAAGGGGAGGCAGAGCAGCGGCCGGGTGGCTGTGACAGCCGCAGGCAAAGGGCTGTGCCCACACACCCCATGGCCCCTGCTCTGCCAGCAGGGCAGGGGCACAGGGCCTGGGCAGGCAGCTGCCATCGATCTGCTCAGAGCAGCTGGGAGCCACAGCTTCAACAACTGCCACTGCCTGCGGGTCGGGAATGAGAAGAGCGATGATGGAGGAGGAGCAGGAGACCAGCTGTAGCTGCAGCCTGCTGGGCTGACTTCAGGAGAGTGTGCTTGTGCAAAAGCATGTAGTGATATTTTCTCAAGCACATGCATCTTGTAACAGTTTCCCTTAATTTTC